AGGAATGCACAGTTCCGGAGAAGCTAGTTACCACATGGTGACAGTGGTTCTAGTCTCCAGCTCTGTCAGCCTGAAACACACCAGGTGGTTCCAGTCTCTGGCCCTGTCAGCTTGAAATATTCTAGGCACATGTGCGAGTACCCAAGATCCAATGGGTTGGAGGACTGGAAAAAGGGGATGGTAGTGTGACCAGACCTTGTACAAGGTATACCTCTCTCTCTTCCCTTTTCACTCTCATATGTGTGTGTGCATGAACTCTTATCTTGAATAAAGACAAGCAATTTTTTAAAAAAATAATTGATCTATGTTAACATCACTAACAATGGGACTAAATGAATAAATAAGGGCTGGCTCTGTAGTGCAGTGATTAGGTGCGGCTCAAATGAAACTGGGATTTGAGCCATGGTCCTGTGGGCTTCACACTGGCCCATGTGTATGTATTCAGGACCCTGACAGGATGGAGAATTGGAAGAGAAAAGGATTGCTGTGTGACCAGGCACTGTTTGGGGATGCTTTCTCTCTCCATCTCTCTTTCTTGTGCATGTGCATGCACCCTTGCCATAAACAAAACAAAAAAACAAAAACAAAAACCTTTTTAGAAAACAGGGAGCCAGGGGGCAGCAGATAGCATGGTGGTTAAGGTGCTGGACTTCCACTTGACCAGCTACGGTTCAAGTTCCAGACATAGCAGCTTGAAAATCATGCTAGGTACATGTTTGGACATGCATGCCCAAAATCCTAGGAGAAGAATGGAGGGGAAGACATCGTGGCATGGCCATCCCCCTGGGGGGGGGTGATTCCTCACTTTCCCTTTCTCTGTTTCTGTCTCTCTCCAGTGAGCTCATGTGCCCTATGGCAAAAACCTAAAACATAAAGGTGGAGGGGGAGACTTCATGTGCTTCCTGATGTGAAGCACTGAGGCCACAATATCCTGTTTGTGATATTCTTGACCAGAAAAAAACAAGCAAACGAAGTGAATCTAACTAAGAAATATCAGACAGTCCCAAAGTGACAGAAATTATGAAAAAAAAATAGATATAGGTACTATTAAAAACTGAACATGTCATGAAAGATAAAAAATGCTGAAGACCTCTTTCAGACTAAAAGAGTCTAAGCATGACATGACAAGAAAAATGCAATGTGTGATCCTGTGTAAGATGCTGAACTGGAAAATCCAATTATTAATATCATTCGGACAACTGGTAAAACTTGAGTATGGACTGTAGATTACATAGTGATACTGAAGCAGTTTCAAATTCCCTGATGTTTATATTTGTATTGTGGTTTTGTAAAATAGTTTTGTTCTTAAGACATACATGCTCGGGCTGGCAGTGGTGCTGCTGTAAAATGTGGCCCTCTGCAAGGCAGACCCTCATGGGAAGGTTGCCAGTTCATGTCTTGACTACCTCCTAGAGCATTCCAGGCATGTGTGTTCCTGGAGTTGGCTGAGGCTACCAGGGGATTGTGGCATTAGGAGCCTGTTGGCGGTGCTCTATGTCTCTCTCTCTCTTTCTCTATCTCATCTTCTGTCTCTATCTCACTCATGGAAGAAGTAAGTAAATAAAATTAAAAAGAAATGATTGTGGGGAAAACATGTGTGCACAAATATGGCAAAAAAAACCTTTTTAAAATAATTTTAAAATTTTATTTTATTTTATTTATTCATTTATTTATTTTGTAATTTGACCAGAGACACACAGAGAGAGAGACAGAGACAGAGAGGGAAAGTGAGAAAGCAAACCACCAGGTCCAGGATTTGAACTGTGGTTGGCCATGTGAGAGTGTCCAGTGCCTTAACCACCATGCCATCTGTTAATCCCAAATATGGCAAAATATTAATGTGTGAAGTGTCTTAGTGCAGGATATAGAAGTTCTTTTTACTATTCTTGCAGCTTTTCTGTAAATTTGAAGTTATTTCAAAAAACAAATTTTTTTTCTTAATTTGCTTCTGGCTCATTTCCTAACACTTAAACTTATCTTTCTTGTCCTTCCCACTCTCAATCTGGGGTCCGTATTGGGCAAGGGTTTACATAATCTTAGATTTTATTGATGAATGATGCAGGGGAAGTGGAAGTTGGAATTATTTAACAATGGGAATGAAACAATTGGGAGCCAACACTTTAGACAGTTGACGAGGAAATGCTGCTGTTCTGTTTGGGACAGTCTTTCCCTGATGAAGGACTGTAGTTTGAGGCCTGTCTCGCCTCCCTCTTCCTAGAAGGAAAGGTAGGCATTTTAGTCACAGACCTGTTGTCATCATTATTTGATTTTAATTCAGTCATCAGTAACTGAGAAGAAAGGGAAAAATCACAAAAGGTAGAAATAGGGATGTGCATCCGTATTGTGCACCAACTTCTTCCTTCAAAGGTCTAGCCTCGCCAAGGCGTGTGAACTCCTAATACAGATGACGTTAACAAGCTTGTCTGGGACCATTATTGCGTTAAATTATTTGCACTGGACCAGTGTGTGGTTGAATTTTAATATACAGAATAATGCTAGTACAATACAGAAAAGCAGCCCAATCCCATGTTGTTTGCTGTAATTCCAGTATTTATAGTAGACAGGTTTAGAAACAGATTTTACAATCACAAAGAGTGGAAATCAGTATCATTCTCAACAGATATTCACCAGAATAAAGAAGAGACCAGGAACACTGACAAAAATGCTTTAGCCAAAAATTGTACAGACAATAAAGGTTCCCTGACAAGCCGTCAAATTCACAGTCAAGGAGAAACCAATCCCATTAGCCACACAACAGCATCCAATAGGTTATTAGTCAAAGCTGTACAGAGTTGGCCTGTGACAGAGCTTGGAAGACTGGGGGCATTGAAGGCCTAGGATCTGCAGTCAGCCCATGACACCCCACACGCACCCCAGATCCCTGTAGTTTGCAATTGGATCTGTTCATTTTGAGGACCCAGCTGAAGACTCACTTCTATAGTCGTCTAGTTTGTCCTAGCAGTTTGGGGTATTTTTTGTCTATGTCAAAAAATATAAGCAGTCTGCAAAACTGGCTGCTTTCCAGAGGCAATGAGAAAGAAGGAAGCTCAGGCCTCTTGATTTTGCAAAAAATTAACAAATAAGGCTAAGTCCTAAACAGCTGTGGAGTGTGCACTGTACCCCCAGCAACCTGTCTCTCCAGGTTCTGTGTTCTTTTGATTATGAGTTAAGAGTATTTCTCTTAAAGTGCTATTCCCTTGGAGGGATTTTCATCTTTGTCAGGAACCAAGCCTTAAAAGAATCAACTGTGTATCTGGAGCTGGTGGAGCAGGTTTGTTCATGAAGTCACACCTTGTTAGCATCACGTAGGCCCGAGAGCCTCTGGCCTGGAGAAGTGAGCCAATTAATTTTTTCTACAAATTCTCGGCAGGTGTCAACCTGCCCTTCACAAAGACTCAGCAGCTACATTGCTCCTGAGATGTTTCATCTCAACCTCGAATTCCTATAGGGTTGGAGAAGAGAACTGGGTGGCCCAGCTTTATCCTGACTAGAATTTGCTACCCTGAAGCCTCCTTGGGACTTCACGTAACAAGTTGCTTAAGCTCTTTCGTGGTAGGGAGACACTGCCCATGCTCAGATGCATACCTAATTCCCAGGCCAAGTAAACCAGCTATTTCTCTGTACATTTAGTAAACGAGCTTAAAAATAAAAACTGGCCTTCATTCAGAGAAATGAAGTCTGGAACTTTTCAAACACTGAAGCAGATGTAATCAGCTAGTTAAATAAGAGCTTCTGTCTGACAAGAGTGTTCCATCTTCAAAATCCTCCTTGTGAACCACACTTGGTTCCTCTGTGGACCTTTTATTAGTTCCATGTATGCCTTCTTTTTTAGTTTTAGTGTCTTGCACATTGGTTTATTTCCAGAATTATCAGAGAAGGAGCATAGATTCAGTTTGTTTATACATATTTAGAATTTTCAGTTAAACATGGTTTTTAATAATCCTGATTTTTTTCATAATTTTTAATTTATTTATTATTATTATTATTATTATTTATTTTTTGGAGAGGTTTTTGCTATAGGGCATGTGCGTTCACCAGACAGAGAGAATTTAAGCCACCGGGTCCAGGACTCGAACAGCGGTCAACTACGTTGGAGTCCAGCGACATAGCCATTACACTAACTGCTGGTCCCAATCCTGATGTTTTAATGTGTTGATAGTTATTTTATTTTTGTATTGCTATGATCTACATCTTTTTTTTTTAATGAGAAAGGGAATTAAAAAAATAATTATTTAATTTTTATTTATTCATTCATTTATTTTAATTTGACCAGAGAGAGACACAGAGCAAGTGAGAGAAAGTGAGAAAGCAAGCCACCAGGTCTGGGACTCAAACCATAGTCAGCCCTGTGGGAGTGTCCAGCGCCTTAACCACCACGCCACCTGCTGGTCCCTACATCTTGTTTTTAAAGATGAAGCTTTCAGGTCATAGCCAGCTTCACTGGGTCCTCAACTGTGCTGTTTTGGGTTTCCTTATCTTTGACAGAATTTTCAGAGGAACAAATGTCATTTTGGGGCCCCAATTTGAAATACCTGTAAAAAAAGGAATCTTTCTTCCCATTTCCCCCAAATAGCCCTTTTGCCTGGAGGCTGTGTAGTGACCTGCTTGTGACTGCTTGTATAAACTGGGAGTCTTGACGAGGGAAATGGATGCTGCGAAAGGGATCTAAGAGACGTTTTCAAGCAAATTTGTTTTCCACATTTTGCCTCTAGCTTGTGCAGTGAAGAGATTAGAAAGCAAGACCCATGAAAATAATGTAAGAGAAGCTGTGATGAAATAGTCTGGAGAAGCTCTTTACCCAGTGAAGTGCTGTTCACAGCTAGTCCTAAGAACACAATACAGAAATGATCCAAATGGGCACAAAAATAGGATACTCAGTATTTGTTTAGATAAAAGGGAAAAGACTCCCAACTATGGAGTGTTGGTCATCTTTAGTAGTCAAGTAGAAGCCCATCTAAAGGACTGGGTGTGGCTGGTGGCAGTGTCCTTACAGACCCAGGACACTGCGGGGAAGGATGGTTGCAGGGATCAGCATGGCTTCAGTACATACCAGGAAATGACGTTGGTTAGGAAAGGGACAAGCAAGTGCTTACTCAGCTGTCAAGACAGGAAAACAGACCACAGTACAGACCACATAGCTGCGTACTAAATACTGATGAACGTATGAAGAAATATATTCTTAGAAGCCAGTTGAATACCACTCTTGTTAAGAGGTGACACTGACTTACATTCTCCTGGTTCTCACTGGTACAAGACAACTTCAGAGACACATACAGATTGCACAAAACTCTAAGATGGGTTTCTGCAGGAGAAGGTTTCCACCTGCCCCCTGCTCTTCCCCGCAGAAGGTTAGACAGAGTTCCCTGTCATTGTTCCACGTGACTGTGTACTTCCTCTGTGCATCCAGCTCTTTACTTCATTGGCTGACTCCAGGGGCATCAGGTGACCTTGGTCCTAGATAAGAATCATTTACTATGGCAGCAACTGCTGCAGGTGAGATGCCTTCTTTTTGGTAACATGGAGCCTTGACAGAAGTCCTCAGGGACTCAAGATGACAGATCTTTTTTTTTAAAAAAAGGAAACCAGAATCAGCTTGCCTGTCCTCAGAGAAAGTAGGCTCTGGTCATTATTCTTTAGCTTTTCAGGGTAGCTTGCTGTTCCCCTGCCAGTACAACTTCTCTTCTGCTTTTTTCTTTTTCCATCGGCAGAGAAGCAGCATCTTGAAGGTCTTCCTGAAGGTTCTGTTGCAGAGGGCATAGCAGATGGGGTTGACAGTGCTGTTGACGTAGCACAACCAATATCCCAGATGCCACAGGGTGACGGGGACACACTTGTCACAAAAGGTGGAAACCAGGACCATGATGTTGTACGGGGTCCATGTGATGATGAAGGCCAGGAGGATAGCACTCAGGGTCTGGGCTGCTTTCCTCTCTTTGACTAGGACCATTCTCTTCCGTTTGGTCATTTGATGACTGAGGTTGGGATCAAGGCCTTTTGTTGAAGGGTCCTTGGACACTGGGAAAGAGCAGGGCATGATTTTCACTTTGTGACAGCCGTTGTTGGTCTCCTGGGTCCCATCAGCTTTTACCACCAATCGGAACTTATAGGCCATGCACTTCTGACTCTTGGGTCTGTGAGCAGCAGCTGGAGACAAGAAGTACCTTGCAGTGTCATAGTCACTTTTTTCAGTTTGAGCTTTCACAAGAGTTTCCTTGGTCTCTTCTGTTCTGAATTCTTCCCCTGGGCTTTTCTTGTCTTCGCTTTTGTAGACCACTTGGAAGACAGGGTCTGCAGTGGGCTTGTCTTCATCCTCTGAGGAGGGGTAGCTGCTACAGGTGGTGAGCTGCTCGGCTTTGGCCCAGTCAGTGCTGGGACCACTGGCTTGGGATGGCTTCCCAGTGGTGGAAGTGCTCCTGCGGGAGGATGACCAGGAAGCTTGGTCCCTTTCTCTCTGGGCTAGGGTGGGTCGAGGGCAGCTAAAGCAGGATCTGAGAAAAGCCCTGTGAGTTGACTTTCTCTTCTCAGCTTCAGCCACAGAGTCAGAGCCCTGGAGGTCAGCCAGGTCCTTGGTTCGCTTCTCTGTCTCCCGGTAGATTCGGCAATAGAGGATTGTCATGACAGAAACAGGGATGTAGAAGGCAGCAATGGCAGTGCCAAAAGTGATGGTAGGCTCAGAGAGGAACTGGATCTGGCACTCATCTGGTGGTACCGTCCGCTTGCCAACCAAGTACTGCCAGCAGAGGATTGCTGGGGCCCAGAGGATAAAGGAGATCAGCCAGGCCAAGCCAATCATGACACCAGCCCTCTTTGGGGTACGCTTGGCCCGATATGTCAGGGGTCTTGTGATGGAAAAGTAACGGTCAAAACTGATGACCAGGAGATTCATGACGGAAGCATTGCTGGTCACGTAGTCCAGGGCTAGCCAGAGGTCACAAGCCAGACTCCCGAGAGCCCAGCGTCCCATGAGGATGTAGGTGGTGTAGAGGTTCATGGAGAAGATCCCAATGATGAGATCTGCACAGGCTAAGCTGAGCAGGTAGTAGTTATTAACTGTCTTGAGCTGACTGTTGACTTTGAAGGAGATCATGACCAGGACGTTGCCCACAATGGTGATCAGGCTCACCACAGCGGTCACAGCTGCGATGGTGATGACTTCCCACAACCGATGACGTTCCAAAGGCTGGTGATTTACAGGGGTGCCGTTGACCGTGGTTGCATTGTGGTAAGGTTCCCCTTCCATTCTGGTGCAAGAATTTACACTGCGATGAAGTCTGGACTGCTCACTTTTCTGTCTTACCTCTTCTTGGCCAGCATCTGGAAGAGAGGGAAACATATTATTCCACTTACTAACACGACTTTCTTTTCCACCCATTGTTTATCATTTCTAAGGGAATAGTAAATGTGGCCAGATCAAGATGCTGAAATCTTGGGACCAGCAGTTAGCATAATGGCTATGTCGCTGGACTCCCATGTAGTCAACTGCGGTTCGAGTCCCAGACCCGATGGTTTAAACTCACGCTGGGCACGTGTGCGTGCGTGCCCAAGATCCCGAGAGGAGAATGGAGGAGAAGGGATTGCAGTGTGGCCATCCCCCCGGGTGGTGATTTCTCACTTTCTGTCTCTCTGCCTCTCTCTGTCTGGAGAGCGCACGCGCCCTATAGCAAAAACCTCTAAAAAAAAAAAAAACAAGATGCTGAAATCTCTTAAGTTTTGATAACATTTTCATAAGGGCATCATCCTTTTGCTGTTAGTGCCCGCGAGCCCTTTTTGTGGGTGAAGCTGCTGCCCTCTTGTGGCAATTTTCTATAAAGGGCTGGGAAGATGAGCGAGAAGGAAAGGAAAAAGAACTGGATTGTCTGAGAGCAGTATAGAGGAGAAGGCCGGGATGGTAAATTACTCTAGGTTGCATTTTTAAGCTCCCGCAGATAAGTACCTAGACTGTCCTTCACTAGGAAAAGAGGCAAGTTATATTGATTTGATAGTTCTAGTCTCAATTATTAAACCTTGTCGAGTTGCTGCTGTGAGCCAAGACAACACTTCTCCCTGCCCATGCACACACTCCAAGTGCATATCTAGTTTAAATGGGGTTGAAATCTGCCTCAGACATTTGCAGTGTCATACAACTGTTTTATCTATTTTTTTTTTTTTTTGTGGAGAGAATTTTGCTATAGGGCACGTGCACTTGCCAGACAGAGAGAGACAGAGAGACAGAAAACGAGAAATCACCCCCCCCCCCAGGGGGATGGCCACGCTGCAATCCCTTCTCCTCCATTCTCCCCTTGGGATTCTGGGCACGCACGCACACGCACCCGGCGTGAGTTTAAGCCACCGGGTCCAGGACTCGAACCACGGTCGACCACGTGGGAGTCCAGCGACATAGCCATTACGCTAACTGCTGGTCCCACAACTGTTTTATCTATTTTTGATTACAAAGTAATCTGCAGTCTGTAAAAGTTCAACCAATGTCAAAACTGAAAACGTAGAAAGCAAATCTGCTCTAATTCCGTCTTGGCAGAGGCAACCAGTGCTAATGATGTAGTGTGTAGGTAGATGCTGATACTAGTCAATATTTAAATATGATCATTTTGAAGTGTATGTATTTTTCATGTTCACATTTTGGATTTTGACTGTCACATCACTCACGGGCAGTTTCCATGTCAGTACATCTGGAGCTATCTCGTCTCATTGAAATGACGGTACAGCACATGATTCCACCTGATGGATGTCTACGTTCAACCGAACTCCTGAAAATTCCAACTTTTAAAACTAAAGGAAAACTTTCCTTTTGTAGATGAAAAATCTAGGTACATGGTAAGGATTTCAATAGGTATAGAAAAGGTATATGGTAGGAGATAAGTCTCCTTCCTACCTCTGACCGCCAAGCTTGCAAGCTTCCTTGTGTTTTGTTTGTTTGTTTGTTTGTTTTTCGGTTTTTGCTATGGAGCGTGTGCACTTGCTGGAGAGAAACAGGCTGTGACAGACAAATTCTGTATGTCTCCTCTTATCTGCGCTCTGTGGTGAAAACTGAAGGACTCAACAGCATAGAAGTAGAGAAAGTAGGGGCCAGCAGGTGGCATTGTGGTTAAAGTTGTTGTATTCCTACATGACCGATTGTGTTTCGAGTCCTGGACCTGGTGGCTTGCTTTCTCACTTTCTCTTTCTCTCTCTCTGGTCAAATTAAAAATAGTAATAATAACAAACAAATGGAATTAAATAATAAATACATTTAAAAAAAGAAGTAGAGAAAGTAATGGTACCTACCAAAAGCTCATGGGGAGTTAAGGGGGGGGGAAGTTAAGAAGAAAATGATTAAAACAATACAAATATGCATAGAAGGGTGTACTACAGCAGAGTAAAATATGTAATTAACAATTCAATATACACTTCCAAAAGAAAAGCCTAGTAGGGGACCAGCCGGTGGTGTGGTGGAGGCAGGTGGATCCCACATGGCTGGCTGACTCTGCAGTTTGAGTTCTAGACCCAGAGACCTGAAAAACACACCGTGTGTGTGTGCGTGTGTGTGTGTGTGTGTGTATGCCTAAAATGCAAGAAGAGAATGGAGGAGAAGTGATTGTAGCATGGCCATCCCCTTGCAGAGGGTGCTTTCTCACTTTTGCTCTCCCTCGCTCCCCCTCTGTGTCTCTCTCATGCTTGTGCACATATCCTATAGCAAATTAAAAAAAAAAAAAAAACCACCAATAGAAATATCAAATGTGCACAAAATTACATAATGTCGAATAAGGTGAATGTACCTGTATTCTTGATGTGATTATTACATACTTCATACATGTTTGAAAAGCCATACTGTACACTATAAAGATATATAATGATTATAACTGTACTAGAAATCACAAAATAAATAAATAACAAAGAAAATGGGGATAATAAGAGTCTTTACTATATAGGACTGTTTTAAGGATTAAATGAGATAAGTCCAATTTGTTTAGCCAGTGCCTGACACAGAGGAATGCTCATTATGAAGTTGCAATCTGGTGAAAAGGGCATCAAAATGACTGTTTCTAGTGAAAGAATGGGCCTGAGGTGTGATCTGTTAAGGGGCAACATAGAATGAAATGTTGAGGCAATGCTTTCATAACCTTAAATTGGCTCTTAGATGGTAATGGCACTTTTCCCTTGTGCTTTTAAAAATTTTTTAAAGAGATTTTTGTTATAGGGTGCATAGCTCACCAGAGAGATAGAGACAGAGACAGAAAGCAAGAAACCACCCCCTAGGGGGGATGGCCACACTGCTATCCCTTCTCCTCCATTCTTCCCTTGGGATTTTGGGCACACATGCACATGTGCCTGGTGTGAGCTTTAAGCCTCTGAGTCTGGGACTTAAACCACAGTCAACTATGTGGGAGTCCAGCAATGTAACCATTACGCCATCTGATGGCCCCTTCCCTTTAGTTTTTATACTTGATGCTTTTCCTCAAGGAGCACAACAAACTGTTCCCAATCATTCGAACAGAGCAACCTTGGAACCATTAAGCAACCTTGCTTAACCATTAAGCCATCTGCTTAATGGTTACATCACTGGACCCACACGTAGTCAACCGTGGTTCGAGTCCTGGACCCAGCAGCTTAAACCTCATGCCAGGCACATGTGTGTGCATACCCAAGATCCTGAAAGGAGAAAGGAGGAGAAGGGATGCAGCATAGCCATCCCCCCAGGAGGTGATTTCTCGCTTTCTATCTTTCTCTCGCTCTCTGTGTGTCTTTGGTGAGCACATGTGTCCTATAGCCAAACTCTCTCTCTGTCTCAAAAAAATAGGGCAGAGCTACTTTGAGGAGAGAGGAGGCTAACACAGTCTACCATCTTCCTTAATATCTGGACTATTTCAAAAAACATAATTGAAAGAAATGATTCTATGGTCAAGTAAGTTGAGAAAATGCCACATATCATATTGAGCTTTCAGAGAGTCACAAGACCCATTATTAGCCCAGTAAAAGCTGAGAAGTAGCACAGTGAAAACACTATTTAATTTGGTTTAACCCAGAAGTGCTTTAGCTTATCTGACCTTTGTAAGAGGAACATCTGTTAATATCCTGTGGAATCTGTGAATCACAGTTGGAAAATGCAGTTTAGTAAAAAAAACATACTGGACTAGGAGTACAGAGATCTGAGTTATCATTTCAGCTAAAATCATGTGAATTGGGACAAGTTCCATATTCTTTCTGGGTCTCAGTATTCCCATATAAAGGTAAGAGATTCAAATTCATGATATAAATCCTTTAAAATGCTTTCAGGCTGGGGCCAGCAGGTAGTATGGTGGTGAGGGTGCTGGATTCTCACATAGCCAGCTGTAATCCTGGACCTGGTGACTTGCTTTCTCACTTTCCCTTTCTTTCTGTCTTCCTCTGGTCAAATTAAAAAATAATAACAAATGGAATTAAATACATACATAATTCTCTTTAAAAATAATAACTAAAATAAATATAAATAATCCTTAAAAAATGCTTTCAGGCCTTTCAGAACTTCATTCTGAGTTCACAGAAAAACATTAGACATTATATTAATTTTATTCATTAGACATTATATTAATTTTATTAGACATTATATTAATTTTATTCTTTTCTTTTAATAGGACAGGGTTTCTTTCTGTGTTGTGAGACTCCTGCTTCAGCCTGCCGAGTAGCTGGGACCACAGGTGCACACAGCCGTACTTGGCTCTTATGGACGGGTTCTCATTGTACTGTCATCCTCTTGCTTCTGCTTCTCAATGGGACTGGTACTATAGCTGTATACTACCACAGCAAGCTCTTTTTTTTTTTTTTAAGAATTATTTATTTGGGACCAGCAGTTAGCGTAATGGCTATGTCACTGGACTCCCACGTAGTCGACCGCGGTTCGTGGTTCGTTTCCCAGACCTGGTGGCTTAAACTCACGCTGGGCACGTGTGCGTGCATGCCCAAGATCCCGAGAGGAGAATGGGGGAGAAGGGATTGCAGTGTGGCCATCCTCCCTGGGGGGGTGATTTCTCGCTTTCTATGTCTCTCTCTCTCTCTGTCCGGTGAGCGCACGTGCCCTATAGCAAAAACCTCTAAAAAAAAAAAAAGAATTATTTATTTGATTTTATTTATCGTTATTATTTATATTTAAATTTGTTACAGGGTACACTGCCCACCAGAGAGACAGACAGAGAGAACGTGAGAAAAAGCCATTAGGTCCATGATTCGAACTGTGGTTGGCCACGTGAGAGTTCAGCACCTTAATCACCACACCTGCTGGCACTCATCCAGCTTTTTTTCAGCTAGGTTCTCACTGCATTATCTGGGCCAGGCTCACGCCTTCAATCCTTCTGCCTAAACCTCTCCTAGTTGCTTGGATTACAGGCACACAACAGTCT